ATTCCCCTTCCATTAAGCACTGAGCTCCTAGAGCAGCGGTGGCACACAGAGAAGCACACCATTGTCTCTATGCCCCAGATTCAGAGATTATACAGGAATGGTGTGGAGGGGGGTGGTAGAGAAGGTATCAGAAAGTGCCACGAAAGAACCTACATTTGCAACAGTGTGGAGAAATTCAAACCGAGGACTTTCTCAAAAATAGTGGAGGTTGTGATGAAAGACAATTGGAAGGAGATTGGAGTATTCAATGGAGATGTCTAAACTACGTACAAGCAAATTTGCAGAAAATCAATTAGGAGACAGCTGAAAGGAGCCCTCCTGAAAGCAAATATCAAACTCTGATCTCAGGAATTTGGAGCTTAATTTGAGTCAATCAATCTGTAGCGTCCGTGAATCAGAGAATTCAAGAGGAGATACAGCTTTGGGGAGAGACGACAATAGTGAAAGTTCAGTTTGGGAAATGTTAAGTTTAAGAGATCTTTGGGATATCTGTCTGTAACATTCAGATGGTAACAGGATGATGAAAACTGAAAATTGGCTGATTCTCTATTACAGATTCTAATTTTCAAATTTTTAACATGCAGACCCACTGCTGTCTAGTATATTCTCACAGCGACCAAGTAGAAATGTCTCAGAGGGTTTCCAATCTTTACAGAAGCAGAGTAGCACAGCTTTCTCCTTCAGAACAGCTGGTGGGTTCAAACTGCTCTTTCAGTTAGCAGCCAAGTGCTTAACAACTGTGCCATCACAATTAACATATTTGTTAACAAATTTGTTGCCTATTAAAATATTTGTTGCTAGGTACCCTCCAATCGGTTCCCACTCATACCAGCCATAAGTAGAACTTGCCAGATACAGCAGCATCCTCACAATCATTGCTGTGCTTGAGTCCACTGTAGCAGCCTCAACAAGCCAATCCAGCTTGTTGAGAGTCTTTCTCCTTTTCCCTGACCTTTTACTTTACCAAGCAAGATGTTCTTCTGCCAGGACTGGTCCATATTGATGACAAGTCCAAAGTACATGAGACAAAGTCGCACCATCCTTGCTTCTAAAGAGCATCATGGCTGTACTCTTCCAAGAAAGATTTGTTTGTTTTCTAGCTGTCCATGGTATGTTTAATATTCTTCACCAACATCATAATTCAAAGGCATCAATTCTTCTTGTGTTCCTTATGCATTATCCAGTTTTCTTATGCATATAAACCAATGAAAATTACCATGGCTTGGGTCAGGTGCTATCATCTTTGCTTTTTGGCATTTAAAGAGATCTTTTACAATAGATTTGCCCAATGTATTGTCATTTGATTCCTTATCTGCTGCTTGCATGAGAGTTTATTGTAGATTGAAGTAAAATGAAATCCTTGACAGCTTTGAAATTTTTTCCGTTTATCATGTTACTGGTCCAGTTATGAGAATTTTTGTTTTATGTAGATGTGAAATCTATACTGAAGGTTGTAGTCTTTGATCTTCACCATCACTTTCAGCAAGTAAAGTTGTATCAGTGGCATATCACAAATGGTCAATGAGACCTTCTTCAATCCTGATGCCCTGCTCTTTATATAGTCCTGCTTCTTGGTTACTCGGTAAATAAACAGATTTAGTAAAATTTTACTTGTATGTGATATTAGTGATATTGTTCGATAATTTCTGTATTTTGTGGAATAACCTTTCCTTGGAATGTACACCAATATGGATTTCTTCCAGTTGGTTGCGCATGCAGCTGTCTTTAAGTTTGCTGGCATACACGAGCACCTCCAGTGTAGTATTCATTTGTTCAAACAGTTTGTACTGCATCAATTCCTGGGGATTCATTTCTCACCAATGCCTTCAGTATAACTTGGGAGTTCTTCCTTCACTACCATTGATTCTTGATCATGTACTACTTCTTGAAATAGCTGAATGTCGAATAATTCTTTTTGGTACAATGACTCTGTTCTTTCCATCTTTGGATGCTTCCTGCATCATTTAATATTTTACCTTCAATATTTCTTGGCATAGATGAATGAGCACCTCCAGTGCTGCATCAGATTGTTGAAGGATT